TTTAAAAAAGTATTGTGAATTTTTTAACGTCACCTTTTACCACATTTACTGCAATATTTGTTAACTTAGAAATATATGAAATAGTTAAATCTAAATATTAAATGTGGCACCTAAATGTTAAATGTTAAATCTAAATATTAAATATAAATATAAATATAAATGTTAAATCTAAATATTAAATCTAAATCTAAATGTTAAATCTAAATGCTAAATATAAATCTAAAGGTTAAATCTAAATGCTAAATATAAATCTAAATGTTAAATGTTAAATCTAAATGTTCTGGGTGAAACTAAATATTTAGCTAATATGCAAATTCACACTGCCGGTCACCGGAAGTACCAAAATAAAAGCTCGAGATGGTCAGACTGTGTTTATAGAATCAAATAACGAATTAAAACCAACTTATCAGGGAAATGGACACTTGAACATACATTAGCGTGATAATAACTACCTAAAATAACAAGAAACATGTTTGGAGAAATTTTATTTGACGTGTACTTTGAGTTGTTAGTGTCCCTTCGGAGGGACTAACAACCTAAACTAAACTAACAACCGTTAGCTCTTAGCACCATTAGCAGTGTCTGTAATGACTCATTAACTCTTAAATGGTCTGTGAAAAAAATATTTTTTCCAGCGGATGTCTTAGTTACAACATGATTGAGCTAGCAAAGCAGTTTTGTGTTGCGATGTGTGGTATTTATTCAGTTTTGGGAAATGACAATGTCTAGAAAGCATCAGTGGCTGTAGCAGCAGCAAAGCTAACATCAGGACGTCATCTGTTAAAAGCCTCCCGTTGTCAGATACGACATGAAACTACTCCAGTTAGGTTAATCATGTTGTAACTAAGACATCCGCCGGAAAAAAATATTTTTTTTCACGGACTGTTTAGAGTCACCGCTAACGGGGCTAACAGCTAACGGTTAGCCCCACTAATCTACGATAACCATGTTATTAATTTCAGAACGTGATAGTAATGTTTGTTCAATCATTGTGTTATAGACTTTACAAACACCAGATTAGTCTAAACGGTGATATAGTGACATGAAAATGTGAGATATGCATATATGTAGCTAAACTCCGCTGGTTTTCTACCCGGAAGTATTTCTAAACAACAAGGTGATTCCTTCCAAAGAGACACTAACAACTCAAAGTACACATCAAATAAAATTTCTCCAAACACGTTTCTTGTTATTTTAGGTAGTTATTATCACGCTAATGTATGTTCAAGTGTTCATTTCCCCCGATAAGTTGGTTTTAATTCGTTATTTGATTCTATAAACACAGTCTGACCATCTCAAGCTTTTATTTTGGTACTTCAGGTAACCGGCAGTGTGAATTTGCATATTAGCTAAATATTTAGTTTCACCCAGAACATTTAGATTTAATATTTAACATTTAGATTTATATTTAGCATTTAGATTTAACATTTATATTTATATTTAATATTTAGATTTAACATTTATATTTAGCATTTAGATTTAACATTTATATTTATATTTATATTTAGCATTTAGATTCAACATTTAGATTTAGATTTAGATTTAATATTTAGATTTAACTATTTAATATATTTCTAAGTTAACAAATATTGTTGTAAATGTGGTAAAAGGTAACACTTTTTAAACATTGTTTGAAGCTAAATGTGGCAAAATGTTGATGTTATTTTCAGCGTGAGACACTTTACAAACGGCACCCCATACTTTACAGTATACGACATCCCTCTGTCCTTAGGACCCTCGCAGTAGATAAGGAAAAACTCCCTGGTACTAGCAAGGTGTACCTAATAAAGTGGCTGGTAAGTGTATTTACTGCCGGGTAGCCCAGTGCTAATAATATATATAATAATACTATAATAGTACATCAAGAACCAGAAGCTCTGGAAATCTAGATTCCATAGCAGCTTCCTAAAAGCTGAACACTAGCTTTTGTTTACTGAGAAATGAGTTTCCTGTGAAGGTTTAGTAACACCAAAAGGCCACATGATGGTGCTCTTTTCCAGATAATTGATGCCGTTGGTGGGGTCTGAGGTTTAGGAGACTTCCACAAACTGGTCTCTCCCATATTCACCACTTCATTAGTAATTTTCTTTATTGCTCAAAGGTAAGCAACCTATATGCGCTGAGGGGGGTGCCTTCGACTTTTCACCTTTCATGTGCAGAGTAGCATGAGATATGAAGCTGACAAGTTAGCCTGTTTCACTGAGCCAAAATAATAGTGTACCCTGACCTTGAAGGAGAGTATTTCTATTTTTTTTAAGACCTTTGTTTTCTGTAGCTCTGATAAGTTTGGTTCTTTACTCCTCCATATGTCAAAACAGTCAGACTGCACTAACATCAACATTAAAGCATTTGACCTTCCCCTTAAAATCGTCTGGTCAGTAAATGTGGGATGGGACATATAGGATCATATAGCTTTGTTCTACAAGCTGATTTTAGAGCTGTGAAGATCAATAGCAAGGGGCAATATGTTTCATTTACATATTCAGTACAAGACAGAGAATTGTTGGATGACACTTTGTTCATGAAGGATTTAAATACAATTTGTGCAATTTATGCATGTACATGCGCATAAATCAGCATGTGTGCTGTGTCATTTTAAAACATGTGAAGCGCCACACATGTTGTGCATGGATGCATAAAAACATGTAGGTTAAATGCTACATTTACTGCATTATGAAAGGACAATGAAAATGATAAAGACCAACTCTATATCCAGCCTACAGGCCAGGGAGGCATTATCCCAGGGGTCCTCCTGTCTGCTGAGGATTGCAAAAAAATCCTCAGTTTTCTCCCTATTGCATGTACATTATTTTGGCAGCAGATGGTACTGTTGTCCCATTGAGCAGGATTTTATATGAACCCACTCAACTGTCTTACATACAGTATGCAGTAAGCCCTGAACAGGTAGACCTTGATATCAGGTAGACATTACATTTTCTACAGAATATGTAATCTCAAGCAACAGTATCAATATTAGTCACCCATGAAATCACCTGTGAAACTGTAGTTCAAACATTTGATCTCTCTGCATACTTTAAAAGCATCTGCAAGTGGTTGAATTTAGGAAAAACTATCCATGTGCTAAAAAAGAGATCGATCTAGGGACATAACAATGATCATGGGTAATTTCAAGACAACACCGATTTAACTGTCTAGTCATCCCTATAGAAACTAAACACAAATCAGAATCAAAATAAGATCCCACCTTGGCTAAGTGTGATAGGCCAATTGATTTAAGAAGAGATACACCACTGCTCCATCCAACCTGCACAATCTGATGCCAATATAGCCATAGATTCTGAGTTGACATTTAGATTCTCCTTTATAGCAAAACATAGCCCACAAAATAAGTATTTGTATACCAACTAAGCATGCCTCAAAGAGCTGTACTGTAATAATGTAACATGTCTAACAACAGAAAACTATATCAATACATCTGTTGACAATTTCTCATATAACTCACTAAAACCTAACTATTGAAGTAAAAGTTATGTATGCCAGACTCCAATACTAAGGTGTTTAGCAAAAATACAGTTGTTTGACAAGTAGTGAGCACACTACTGGGAAAGACTGCATGAGCTGTGTGAGAGTTTGTCAACAGATGTTTTGATATGGTTTGCTGTTGTTAAACTTGGTTCCCAGTCAATCAGTAAATCAGTATGTTTGCCATTTTCCATGGAGGCATGCAAAAAACACAACATTTTCCTCACTTACTCAAGGTAAAACAGCATGACTAACTGCATATGGCCATTTCGTACATGAAGCATTCCTTTAACCACCATTTCATAGAAGTTTTGGACAGGATGCTGATTAACAGTTGTCTTCAAAGTACCTTTGGCAATTTTAGCCCCACATTTATCACAGTTACTTTGGAAAACATAATAGCAGGCCATTGTGTTACAATCAAGCCAGCCCTATTAATTTGAAATGCTTTATCTTTTCTGACAGGACCCAACAGCATTGAGCTCATAAAGTCACGCAGAAATACCACAAACTAGAAAGCTCAGATGCAGAAAGCATATTTTAGATGTTCTGCAGTGACATGATCAATTGTTTTTGACATATAGCTTTCTCATGGATTCAGACACTTGATTAAACCTCACCATCACAATGCCCATGTGAAGTCAGTGTTGTATTAATGCTTCTGCCAAAAGTTAACAATTTCATCCATCACCCATAAACAAAACTGTGATGCTTTGCTGTGCATACTGGTGGTAGTTGGTGAACAATGTTTCCCAAATGTCAATTTTTTTATGTTAAGATGGTGGCCATATTATCTGACCAGAGAATTCACCTCCTTCAATTTCAAAACATACGCTAATGTCTATGTTTTGTTTTTGTTTTTAGTATAAGGGGACTACTACTGCATTTTGTTTTGCAACACTGTGTTGTACAATGACAATAAATTTACCTTGAACCATAAATAGGTTTTGTGTTATTCACAGTTCTTTAAACAGTTTTGTTATTTTGCATAAATAATAAAATAAAAATAGAATTATAATTATAGGCTAATAATAATAATGATAATAATACATGAGCAAGTAAATAAATAAATCTGCACTCTCATTTCAATTAAATAGAGTCAAACAAGGCTTGGAGGCCTGGAAATCAACCACATGTTCATCGACTTACATAGAATAAAACCAGTATTTTATTATTTTTTTCATACTTATCAACACCAAAGAGAAAAAATCATTAAACGTGTATCTAATCAATAAGCTCTATAGATAAACTGTCTTCTATGCCAATATAAAACTAAAATACCCCCCACCCCCTTCCAATGATGGTCACAATGTCTAAATACATTTTTGGGAAAAGTGTGTTTTTATTTATTTATTTATTTATTTATTAATGTATTGTGTGTTTATGTTTTTATGCTAACATAAGCAGCGCCTCGTCATCTATGCTTCACCGTGTCCTCTGAAATCACATCTCAGCAGGGATTTTATTTTGAAACCATTTCCCGGAAGTTGTTTAATTTAATCTTGTTGTAATTGACGCTTTGGGTGATTTTCATCGGCTATCCATACAGGTGCGCCTGGACATTTGTGCGTAATTTGCGGGCGGCATGAAATGCGTGTTTACTATGTGACTGCGTGCTGTTTGGCGTTACAGGCGGGAATGTCTCTGTCACACTGAAAACCGTGCAACTGGGGCATGTATTCACTTTAACACAGCGGACCAACAAGCTGGTGTAGACTGTGTGGCTGATTCACGGGCAATAAAACGACGTCTTGGTCTTCTGCAATAACACTGGATTACAGGTGCTGCAGGAGGTGGCTTGGAAGGAAGATTTTATTTTTAAGGATAAAGGAAAACGTACAAATCACAGATGTGAGAGGCAGGTGCTTTTCGAGATTTGCACCTCGTTTTTTTTTCTTTTGCAATCTGATTTTCGGCCGGAGCCTGTGAAATGCAGCCTCTACCTGACAGATGTGTGGCACCACAACTGCAGCCTACAGGTCTGTATCGCCAGGATGGATTTCATGCGTTTTGTGCCTGCCTCGAAAAACATTCAGTATGAGCGATGAGATTTAATACTAGTGAGGAATCATAGAAGCAACAGAGATAATATCCCGTGCTTTGCATTCACAGCACCTGAACAGCTTTGTGTTGACAATGTCTGAGTGATATTCTGTCTGCTAGGATTATGATAGCATCTGGCTGTTTATGTACACTGCTCTGTCCTCTCCACACAAATCTGATGACAACAACTATTATTTTGCTGCTGAACCAGCTCATACACAATTTTTTGTCACTGCACTGTAAGTAAACAGAATTGCCAAGAGGTGCAGTCCATTAATGGGACTACAGCACAGAACTGGTTAGATATGTGCATGTCCTCTGAAACACTGCCTGACTGTTTAGACGTAACTCATGGGATAAATCACAGCTTCTGTTTATCAGTGTTTCTGCTCCTCATCTTTTGTTCAGAGAGCGTTTCCTGTCTACCTGCTGCTGATCTGCTGAGGTCGGCTGTGGAGGACTGAGACTGCCACAGCTGCAAATCTCATCATCATCATCATCATCATCAACGTCTGACACTTCAAACACGACAAGACACAAGAGGACTGAGGCTGCTTTTGGGCTAATCAAAAAGCCAGCAGTCACAAAGCACCTGTGGACGATGACTCCAGCAGAGCTGCTCGCGTGAAAGCAGCATGAGATAACTGAGGAGGACCGTACTAAACGCTGATTGAAGCTTTTTCCGTTTGGCGCTGATGAAAATGTTCCAGTGTGTCAGTTGACTGACAGGGTTGCAGTGCTGTTCTAGCCCGGGACATAGCCAGCAGCTGAAGTGCAGACACCACAGAGGGGATGGCTCGTCCAGGATCGGGGTTGCTGGTGCCTGTGAATGGGCTGGGGTACCCTCCTCAGAACCTGGCCAGGGTGGTGGTCTGGGAGTGGCTGAACGAACATGGGCGCTGGAGGCCTTACAGTGCTGCAGTTTGCCACCATATTGAGAATGTACTGAAGGGGGATGCCCGGGGAACAGTAGTCCTGGGGCAGGTGGATGCCCAGCTCTCTCCGTACATCATCGACCTGCAGTCCATGCACCAGTTTCGACAGGACACAGGTAAGAGACGTGGTGGTTTCCTGTTTATTTACTCAGCTGTCACAGATGGGGAGGTGTCAAGGAAAGAAACAGATGATGTCGTCATAAAAACAACAGTCATCACTACATCAGTAGGGTGTTTACCCAGTTCCGTCATCTGACATAGGTAAATAAAAGAACTGTGTTGGCTGTCCTCACCACAGATGATGTCATATTAGTACATAGGGACTGATAAAGACGGAGCTAGCCTTGATGTGGTTGCTACACAAATCTTATGTAACTTTCAGGGGAATAGATGAGAGTCCTGAATGCCCCGTCTGCTTTGGGATTTATGTAGATGAGCCACAGGTTGAGCTTAGAGACGATGCAACATACAGGACACAATGATGACAAGTGTAGCAATGATTTATTCATTTACGAGTGCCTTTATGCGGCTGCTGGCATGCCATGACCTTCCCAGAGGTCACCGTGTTGGATGGGCTGTGCATTCATCAGGCAAATGAGTGCTGTAGCTCAGTGCGACACTCCTCACTCTTCTCAGCTGATTGCATTCATCGAATGTGGTGTCATTTAGATGTAAGACTGGCAATCGCAACAGTGGTTGGTAATGAAGTTACTGTACACAATCACAGTTAAAAAGGGAGCATGCTCTTTAACCATCAATTCACCTCAGGGTTTTTACTCCACACAATGGAAAGTAGCAGTATATGGTTATACATTAGATGCTGAAACAGTAGCCCAATACATGTAAACTGTTGAGTGGTAAATAAAAAAGTTTTTATATTAAATGTGTGCTCTGTAGGAGAGCATGAAACCAGCATTATCCAGAGTGAGGCATTGATTACCTCTGACTATAACATAACAGTAGTATAATCATAGTTATAATGATATGTGAAAAAAACATGTCCCTGTAGAGTTAAAACCACCAAGCACAGCCTTTGTTTGGTTGACTGTAATTCTCTCTGATGACTGCTACCTTTTTAAACAAGACCAGATGTTTTTGTGCTGTGCTCCACCAAGGCTCAACACACTCTCTGTGTTCATCTTTGTGTGTGCATTCACCTTCCTGCTGTCCCAGTGTTTGAAGCAAAGATATGGGGGAGGTTTTAGACATCTGTTAGAAGCAGTCTCAGACAAATCTCAGCTGCCTGAATTATTCTTCTCGTCCTCTGATTCAGCGACACTGTGTTAGAGCCAGTTATGAATCAAGCTACTGGTTGTGACTTTTGTGTTCGAGGGACAGGTCGGGTCTGCAATAAAAAACAATGTTTCATCACATCATTGATTAAAATGAACTCTAACTGTAAGTCAGAGACGAGTCTTGTCTTTGAAAGCGTTATGTAACATCTGAGCATCACAAGTGGTATGGGGTGATAACCATGGGATGTACAGAAGGTGACCTCACTGTGTGCAGATTTGCATTATGTCACCTCTCATTAATTTTCAATGCTTCATTTACATTAGGTTAAATGCATTTTTGTGGATTTAGTTACAGAGTAACAAGAAGTACAGCTCAAATTTGTAAAGGTCCATTGAGTAAGTGTCTGGTTATGAAACAAAATATCAAAATGTAATTAAATGTTTCTCTAAATGGTAAAAATGCCCACAGCTGTAATAACTTGAAGTCATGCATGTGCATTCTTGCATGTGTGTTTTTATAATAGCCCAACTGCAGATGGGCGTTTTAAACTAGCTCAGGCTTTAAACTCTGTGGTATGTGGCATTGGGCAAAGTCATGTACTCGCCCCTTTGAAAATAAATATGAACATAAAAATAATGTTAAAAAAAAATCAATAATAAACAGACTTTTCAAACTGGTGTTTTATTTAAAAACTCATCATCATCCAGTCCTGATATCACTTATGACGTCATTGTTGTTATATTAGTGCTGTACATACTGGAAACAGGAAACAGACTTTAGTAGGCGCTGTACTGATGACACATTTAGAGAAACATCTTATTATTGCATCATCAGGAAAATTCCAACATGTCGACACCAAATAGTATTATGTATTTGTTGTTCCATAGAATATTTAAGTCTAAACGAGGTGTGAAGGCTATTGAAGGGAATGAAAAGGCCTGGAACCCCACATGAAAAGTATATTCTGTATATTGATTGGCTATATACAGCATATAGCATACATAGCACTTGATATATTAGTATTTCTCTTTAACTTATGAAGGAAGAATTTTCTCTTATGTTTGAATTACTGAATAAGAGAGTGACGGTATTTCTGCCTGACTGTCAGGAGGGTTGTAGTATCAGGAGACGCTGCTGTTTTTGTTGGTGTCTTCCTCTCTGATAGAACATAACACAGAGCAGCACATGTGTCTTAGGTTGACTGGCTACGAGATGGGCCACTGAGTCGTTTGTCAGCCATTACCACGGCGCTGGGGCTAGGCCCTGACGTTTATCGGTCCTCTTTGTGCCGTTCGGCATGTTACCTCCCCCCTCGGCTGGGATAAACCTGTCACGGCATTGCCTGACGGACAGCAGCCTGGACACCCGCTGCCTCCTCTCCCCCCTCTTTCCTCCTCCTCAGCATGATCTGCTCCTGTCCCCAAACATGGGCAAACCACTGCCAGGCCACAGCCATCGATCCGAGCTCCCACGAGGCCTCGCTTCCAGGCTGTAGTGATGTTGTTACGCCGCTGCTTACACACAGGGCCTCAGTGAGTTTGTTTTAGCATGGATTGTGATGCATCTGTTTCACATCGGTTGTTTGCTATATTTGTAGCTCAGCAGGTCACCCGCAGCCACTTGCTCTGTTGCAGGCTTATGGAGTGTCCCTGTGGGGAAACCCCATTTTGTCGCGGAGCCAGTGATCTCGTCCTCTGAGGCTGTTTTTTGGCAAGAGTTGGAACGAGAGTCGAGTGTGCTCGGTGTCCCCTGTGTGTGTATATGTCCTTGTTTCTGTACATCTGTGAGTTTGCTGATGACAGTGCACTCTGCCAGCTGTGGCAGCTGTGGTGTTTGTGTCCTGTCCCTGCAGGCTGTGTGGGGGTGCCCTGCTCCTCCTGTGGGTTTGGGAGGAGCTCCTGTGGGTGGGAACCAGGCAGAGTTACTCTGACTAATGAGACAGCAGCTATAGTTTATCTCCATGGCTCCCTCTAATCAGAGCATCATGACGACAACGCACGCACCACAGGCGATGCGGCAGGGCCCCTCTCTGTGGAGAGCAGCCTAAACACATCTGTAGTTAGTTGGCATTAAAAAACACAGGGCATGGAGTTCATAATACAACTTCTGGTGAAGAACACAAGTCTGTGGTGAAATCCTGAACCCCAGTGCTTTATATATACAGTATGACTGAAGGCTTAGAGGCTTATATATAGTGTGGATGAATATCTGGCTGAAGGCAGGGAGAGGATTGGCTCCCAGCCAAGAAGGATCGATCTGTTCTCCTCCCCAGAGGGGCGTTTGAACCTCTAAACACTGCTGTGGACTGATCCCCTTTCACTACACCCACTCCCATAGCAAAACACATAGGCTTATCTGCCATCTCCATCATATACCAACACTTGTGGCCTGTCTGATGGATTTCACACTGCAGCTATTGCTTCTGCTGCCTGGCTTTTAAGCATTTACCTCTTCTGTATTTTCTCATATGATGGAGTGGTGGCACAAAGCACAGAGACTAGCAGGTGCACATTCATAAAAGATAGCTAAATCAGTGATGTAACATCAGCACCATTTAAAACTTGGATATTATTTTTAAATGAAGACAGATTCTGTCAGTATGGCCATGTTATTGCAAGAAGGATTTACTTTATGGCAAGTCATCATTAAAGCACAGTAAAAAGGTTAAAAGATGAAAAACAACAGAAGAACACTGACATTGACCGACAAGGTAATATTAAATATACTGATATACTGAATTGATTGATAGGTGCAAGAACCTGTTCAGTTTCTCTGTAGCATTTTCAACCATGGCGAATGTGTCTTAACTTGAAATTACATTGAAGTAGGGGAGGATACTTTAATTTTGGCTTCACAGGGCAAAAATTCCATAATAGACTTTAAGCATATTTTAATTCAAATGGACTAAGAGAAATCTAGACTTTTGCACCTCCTTTTGGCTCTGTTTTCAGGCTTTAGAAAATCTAGTCTGTGATGGGAGAGAGGGCATTCCTACTGGGTGTTCTACAAATGCAGATGAGCACGCACGTCCTTTTGGTGAAAGCCTGATTCAATGGCTGAGAGTCCTGCAGAGAAATGTGCTATTCCAGCACAGCAATTCAAACAAGGAAGATGGACTTTTCAGAAAGAAATTCTAAAATAGACCCTGAGAATAAACTAAATAAAACACGTCAGTATCAACGTAGCATGTTAGAGATGGACGGAAAATGTTGCTAATAGTTTAGCCTTCTGCTAACCAGAGGCAAAGGCTCATGACTGTGGCTCAGAGTTCACGTTTATGTAGCTAATGCTAGCAAGAGCCTGGAATCACAGTGTGCCATCCGCCTCACTCCCTGCCATTACAAACACCTCACCAGGACAAAAATGGGCAGCGGCTCCAGAGACGGACCCCCACCCAGTGGCTGTAGCAATATGAATCCAGCCAGCACACACCCCAGCACTGGGGGACGAGACATCCTGACTCACCGCCAGTCGGGGATGTCCACTTTCTGCAGTTGCAGAGGTCAGACTCAGCACTGCTGCTGGCCACCAAAGGAACTGGAAAGACTAGCAAATTAAACCTGCTGCAGTGGGCTCAGTTTTGGTGCTAGAGTGATGAACTAATACCATATGAAACTAGACAATCTAAGGCATCTTTCCATATCAGTTGGTTGTGTAAATAGGCAACTGTATGCTGACAATCAACTTAAAAGATGAAATATGTCAGGAGTTGTAGCACAGTAACATCTGTTATTGCAGGTTTAAATTGGGAATGTTTGATTGCCAACACAATGTGGGCTCATTGACATCTTTGGTCACTGTTTATAGGCTATTCAGGGCTATGATTTGTAGTAGCGCACCACAGAAGTTGATCTCCTAGCAACATCAGCCTGCAGATGTC